CTCCGGGCCTCCCCCCACCACACACCCACCTCCTTTTTTTTTTTTTTTTTTTTTTTTTTTTTTTCCCAAATCGCAAATCATCTGCTCCAGCCCTACCCTCGCCCCTCATTTTCATGACAATGGCCCGTGTTTACCTGTGATCCCCGCACCGGCGGGGCCCGCCTTTGTCTCGCCGCGAGATTACCGCGGCCAGCTGCTCGCCAGGCCGGCCCGGCCCGCTCGGCCAGCGGCCCCGGTGCGAGCAGGGGGGAAAAGCGAGCGCCCCGCAGCGCCCCGCAGCTCCCCGCAGCGCCCCGCAGAGCCCCGCGCTCCCTTCCCTTCCCCTGCGYCCGCACGCGCGTTTGCGCCGCTGCTCGGCTGCTTCCGACGTGGAATTGCCGTGGGTAAAACGGCCCACGCGTGTGTGTGTCTGTGTGCACGTGTGTGTGTTGTCGGCCCTCTCCTCCCCTCTTAGCTCCAAACTTGTTTCCCCGACACTATCACGCTCCTGCTCCGCTATAAAGCACCGGTCGCCTTTGCCTGAGGAGCACGAGGTGACCTTCTGAAATCGCTCCAGCCCGACACAACTTGTCATCGCAAGAGGCATCTCGTGCTCCAGCACCCCGTCTGTCCCCTCCGACTCCCAGCACAGCCTCACAGCACAGCGCAGGGAGGGGGTGACCTCTCTGAATTCGTGAACATGAGGAAACAAACATCTGTTACACCATTTATCGGGAAAAAATAATAATAATTTAAAAGATGTTTTGCACTCCTGCTAGATTTTGGCGGGTAGCTGGAAATACTCCCTTTGCGGAAAACCAACTTCAGCAGCGACACCGCTTACGTTCGCCAGTTTCTACGGCGAAGACACCCCTTCTCCATTGACCGCTTTAATTAATCATAGTCCTAAGACAGAGTGAACTCCTAACGGTATCTGCACAGCCCACTTTTTGCTAGCGTACTGCTGCGCTGTGCAGTGCAGTGTTGTGCAGTGCAGTGCTGCAGAGTGCAGTGCAGTGTTGTGCAGTGCAGTGCTGCACAGTGCAGTGCAGGGCTGCGCTGCTCCGTGCGCCGGGGCTCTTTGTGCAGCTCTCTGCAGCGCCCAACCTGCTGGAAATTACCTCTGGCAGGATGGTGCTGTTGACGCTGCGTTTCCAGGGCTCTCGGAGCCACCTCCGATTTGCCTCGTCTTTTTCTTCCCTTCTGCCCCTCTCCGTGCCTCAGATGTGCAGGGGCACCCCCCCTCAGGGGGAAAAGGGGTAGAAACTCCTTTGCAGAAGGTGATTATGAGAAAGAGGATGGGTATGGACGGGGCGGGCCTGCGCTTTTGGAAACGCGCTCCTCTTTTCTGAGAGCATCTGCCCGGAGACGAACAGATGTGGGCACCTGCGGTGACAGGCCACATATGCTCCGTCCTATTCACAGGCATTCAGACCCGGCTACAATGGCGAGCCTTTGTGTACGCCGAGTCACCAAATATATTAATCTGCGCTCCCAGGAGCACCGCTCTGTTTAATTTTTCACCAGCAACAGCATCTGATCTAATCCTTCCCGCGGCGCCCCAAAGCGCCCCCTGTCCCCCCGCCGCGGGAAATACGTGCGGTGAGCCGGGTCCCCACCTGTTGCCGCGGGCCGGGCGCGGGGCGCGCGCGGAGCGGCGCCCACGCGGGGGACACGCCGCGCCTTTGGGGTGCGCGGCCCCGCGCGCGCGGGGAGCCCCGCGGGGCGCTTTGTTTACCGAGCGCTAGCAGCGCGGTTATAAACACCGGTCAATAGGCCACGCGGCCGAAAGGTAACATAAATCTCAGATGTAAGACCGAGATATCCTCTCCGCCCCCGCCCCGCTCCCCAAACAATTTTGGTGCGCGACTCTTTCATCTGATCATCCCTTGTTCTGTTTTGATTTGTTTCCGGGCACAATGGGCCCTTTGGTGCCATTGTGGCCGGCACAATGCGCGCGGACACCAGGCTGTGAGGGGAGGCAGAGGCCGTTCAAACACGCCGGGCCCTTTCTTCCCTCTCCCGCTATTGTCCCGTGAATGGCCCCGCCGGCGGCTCCCGGGAAACGGGGCCGGCACGAGGGACCCCCACGTAACGCACCACGCATGTAACGTTAAGGGGCGGCGGCGCACCTGAGCAGCCGCTGGTTTATTTATTTATTATTTATTTAATAATACAGCCCCTCTATGTACAGCCCCTCTAGTGCGCCACGGCGCCCGCCTCCCCGGAGAGGGCAGCCCTCCAGGGCGGCCCGCGCGCGCGGCGCCCGGCGGCGACCGTTGCAGGTCCCAACGGCCGCTGCGGCGCGCGCAGCCACCGCCCCGCAGGCGCGCGCCGAGCGCACGCGCAGCCCCGCCCCGGGGAAGCGGAAGCGGCGGCCCGGGTCAGTGCTGGGGGTGCCGTTAGGCGGGGGCGCGCGGGCGTTTAACGGCCGCGCGGTGCGCGCGCACGTGGGAGGCGCGGGGTGCTCCGGAGGGCYCTGCGAGCAGGGAGTGGGGGCGACGGCGGCGGCTCCGCGGCCGCGGTGGCCRGGGCTGCTGCGCACGGAGCCCCACGGCCGCACCCCGCTCCCCGGCGCTGCGCTGCGCGCCTCTGTCCCCACGCAACGGCCCTTCCGCGGGAGCAGCGGCGTCGCGCGGCTCTCCGGTGACACCTCGCTAGCCACGGCCGGGGCCCCTGTCTCAATACACACCTGTGTGTGTGTAAAAGTTGGAGGGAAGGCGTTTCTCATTATTTCAGTTCGTGGGCATTTTTTTCCCCGCTCCTTGCGGAGGCACCTACTTGATGGTTATGCCGTTGGGATCTTCGGGTAACCTGACATCTCCGTTCTATGCAAATAATCTTGGTGTAAAGAATAAGATTCCCCAGTCTTAAATTATTCACCCACTGCATGAAATACACATGCTTTTCACTGTGAAGAATTGGGGACTTTTATTAGAAACTTATTACTCCAGCACAAACCTTTTAAATCCTTAGTTTGCCAGCTTTATTAAGCTATTTATTTCAAGTCGTTATATCTGACTTATTTTTCTGTTCTTCATCTGTGGCTGATTGGACAGAGATTTGTGTAATGTAGGGGTTACAGTTTTGTAGAGAAGCAAAATGAATGGCACGATATAAAATGTCTTTTTTTTTTCTTATATCTACGTATAATATGGCTATGATAATAGGATTAAAATGCTTGTGGCAGCCAAGCTGTTTGCTTACATGCTAAGCCCTGCAACTTTCTATCAAGCTGAACTAGCACTGGTAATGGATTATTTTTCCTGCTAAGGTTTGTGTCATAGGCTTGCTTAAATGGGTAGGCAAGAGGAATGGTTCAGATACAGGTGTCCCAGGGCCGGAGAGTGCTTCTGTCACGCTACAGKGTAGCTGGTAAATAATTTACTGCGCTTCCTCCTCTGGATGTGAAGCTGCTGGGGCAGAATCTGCGCTCAATCATAGCTGAATTGTAGCTGATTGCAGACACGCAATATATGCCACAGAAACAGCACCAGCTTTGGCCTGCTGTAYGTGTGCAGCGATCCCCCATCCCTCAGTGTGTCTGCACATGTGAGTGTTTGGAAGGTAAAGATGTTCACACCAATTGCAGCTTCTCTGTGGAAGGTGATAAAAAGCAGKAACAGAACCCGCGCTCAAGCTGGGATCAGAGGGTGCAGCTCTCCTGGGGCAGCAAGGGGCTGGAAGTGAAAGGTCACTCGTGCAGTGCTGGAAGTAGCATTGTACAGAGACAGCTCCCGTTACTGCCCTGCCACTGTTGTCATGAAGCAGTTCCATTTATTTCTGTTTTTATTACATTAATGTCTACTTGTGTACTCCCAACTTTATTTTGTGTTTATATTCATGTATTTCATGCTGCTTTCAACTAAAGAGTATTCGAAAACAGACTGGGAAGGGTCTTAGATATTTAAAACTCCAAGGAAGAACTCAAAAATACCTCTCAGAGTTGTCAATTCACGATACTGTTGTGAATCTGACTTCCTATTTCTATAACCCAGGCATGTATGCTGTAATGTGACACTCCCAAGATGGCCTGTAATTGAAATATCAGAAAACAGCAGTGTGAAAAACAGAAAAAAATGTACTTGTTTAATTAAAACATGGTGAACTTCTTAACTGTTTAAGTGAGGAAGATATTTGTGTAACATTAAAATGAAAAGCAAACAAAGTTTGTCTCATTGCATGAGGAAATTATGTTGTTACCTCCAGTTTTGAGTGGAAAGTCCTTTAAAATAGAATAGTATTGTAGGAGAGGATATTGCTGCCATAGTAAAGAGAAAGGACATTTAACATGAAGCTATGTCAAACTTCTAGGCATTCAGATGACAAGATAATAAATAGGATTCAGTTTATTTTTTCAAAGCAGAATTGGCACTAAAAATTGTATAGGAGTAGAAATACTGCAGCTGGTGCCATATTAATGGATTGCTGACCGTAAACTCAGATGGCAACTGGGCCATTTGAACACTCGGTGTGCCCGGATGATTTTCAGAGTTACTCATTATGCATTTTCACTGACTTTGGTTAAAGGTACTTGTATACATTTACTGTGAAAATCAAGTTGTTAAATCTTCTGTTGCATGTTATCAGCTAAGATGTTGTAAATTTTTAAATTATATATACATGTTTTCCTATAAATGGTCACTTTTCATATGTTTAACTCTAAATTTATAAAAAATATACCTGTGAAATCCTTTTTGACAATTGCAGTTTTCACTTAATGTAAAAAGCAGAGGTGGAAGGCAAAGTGCTTTGCAAAGTGAGCAGGCTTTATGTCCAGTTTGCTGAAGGGTAGAAAACTGGTTCAGACAGTTTAAAAGCCGTATTAGGGACAGTTTAAATAACACAGCAAGACATGAGCAAAAACAGAAAATTAACTGTTTCCATTTCCAAACTGCTTTTTTTTTTTTCCCTTTTTTTTTAAACAGAAAATTACATTGCCTTGCTCAGTCTTATATTTTAGAATGCTGATCTTATTTTTCTTTTTTTTTTTTTTCAGGTCGCTGAGAGTTTCAGAGATCAACCATGGGCATTAAAGGTTTGCAGGGATTTGTGACAAACGTTTGCCCTGATGCATGCGTAAGGGTAAATCTGAAAGAGCTGGCAGAAAGACACCGCGCCAATCATCCTGATTTCCCTCCTGTTATTGTAGTAGATGCCATGAGTTGTGTTAGACACTGGTACACACCAGAATCTTGGGTGTGTGGGGGCCAGTGGCAGGAGTATCTTGCTAACTTAGAGAATTTTATTGAGGCTTTTAAGGCAGCTGGTATCAAGTTGGTATTCTACTTTGATGGTGTGGTAGAAGAGAAAAAGAGGGATGAGTGGATCAAAAGGAGGGTGCAGAACAGAAAGGAAATATCCAGACTATTTCAGTTTATCAAAACTCATAGGAAACAACCAGGCAGAGAAATGTTTGTTATTCCTTCCGCTTTACCTACTTTTACACGTTATGCCCTAAAGTCACTCGGCCAAAAAACAGTATGCACCTTGCAAGAGGCAGACTTTGAGGTGGCTGCTTAYGCATTGCAACATAACTGCTTGGGGATCCTCGGGCAAGACAGCGACTACCTCATCTACGATACCTCCCCCTACTTTTCAATTGARAAGCTCTATTTGGACAGGCTGGTCACTGTGATGTACTCCAGAGAAGACCTCTGCCGAGCATTGGGTATTACAGTGACTCACCTCCCCTTGTTTGCCTGCTTGCTTGGCAATGACATTGTCCCAGAAAGCTTGTTGGAAGGCTTTTGGCATAAATGTTTAGCCACGTGCCCCCCTAGGAATAAAAGCTACAGCAGAAGAGCTAATGTACTTATTGCAGTAGCAAATTACATCTCAAAGATTCCATGCTCATACGGCAGCCTGAAAGACTTGGAAAAGATGCTACCCTTGGGATCAGACAAGACGTTACTGTACAGGGGAATGGAGTCCTATCTTTTGCCTGGGCAGCAGTCTCCGTGGATTCCTCACCATGTAACAAATACCCAGATGTTCTCCAGTCCACAAGAAACAGCCATGTGTCCAGATAAGGAAATATATCAGGTACTTTGCCTCCTAAAGCTCAATGATTGCTTTATTGCAAAGACTGTTTAATGAAAATTGATAGTGAATATACTGAACTGCTCATTTAAATTTGCTTGAGTAGAATCTATTGTGTGTTAAGTACAGCTGTGGTACGATGTAGTAGGGCAAATGAAGCCCTGGTGGTTCCACTGCTTTTGAAACATGAGGCGGATCAAATAACGGGCCAGCAGCTGAAGTGTGGGGCACAGTGGGCACTTACCTGTACCTCCCATGTATTGCAAAGTGCAGTAGCTTTAGCTACTTAGTTCTGTTTTGAGAATCCACAGGTCAGATTCAGCTGATGACTGGTCTGCTTCTATGCACCTGGTCCGTGTAGTTGAGTTAGCAGGGTAACTATGTGACTAGTAGAAAATGCTGCTTGTTGGACATGGGCTAGTATTTATACCAAATGAGCTACCTTCTGTCAGGGTTAATTTTTATAGGAGCATTAAGTCAAGAGTAAAATATTGCAAGGTCATGGAACTTAAGAAAACACGTTGAAATTTACTTTTAAAGGTATTTGGAGGAAGGGTCTTTTGGTCCTTGTCTTAGTCATCTATTCATCCCTCTTTGTTAGGTACAAAGAAGCTTCAAGCAGAGCCTTTTTTGTCTGTCTCTTAGCGTCCCTGAATCTTTAAYATTATTTTCCTATTTCCTCTTTACACTACACTGATATAATCCTATATGTCATGTTTTCCTGCCTAAGAAGACTAAAACATTTTAAAGTGTAGTTTGAAAACTATGCAGTGCTAAACTTTCAGGTAAACTGCAGGCATCTTTGGGTATTAACCGTACATAGATATATGCAATTTTTGACTGTGCTACTTAAACAGAAGACACCATTAAAAAAACAAAAGCCTTACATTTTAATAAGGGGTTGAAGAATTCTATTTGTGACTTAGGTGCAAGGAAAAGATAGGCAGAATATAATTAGTATGTTGGATTATGGCCAGGACAATAGTGTTAACATGCTAACTCTTAAGAGAGCGTGCCTTACAGTCCTTATGACAAGTAGTCATTATTCCTGGGTTTTATCTTTCATTTGAAGGGTTACATTTTTCTAACATCATGCTGAGAAAGTACTATAATAACTATAATTTTATTACAGTTTAGATGGTTTATTACAGTCTAGAAGTTTCACTAAAGACCGTGGTCTCAGCATTGCTGCATAAATCCTATAATAAGTCAGTTCTTTGGCCAAAGAAATTACCATCTATTTTGTAGATTTATTAAATATCCTTTTRTTTTTTGTTACGGATATTTAAATATTTGTAATGTCTATGTTGCATCTCATATTTTAAAGCATGTACTCAGCTCTACTTACCTTACACATTATCTAAAATGCACATAGGTGACATTTATAGCTCAGTTCCAGTCTTGAGAGTGTTGCCTCATGTTGCTCCTTTTCTCAGGGGAAAAAAAAAGCCTCAGAACATAATGTCTGTGTATATATATATATATATATATATATGTAAATCAGAAATATTTTTTGCAATACATCACTGAACACAGCTCTCATTTTGAAACTAACATCTTTACATTGTATTAGGATGTGTAAATTATTGGTAAATTGTGAGAAACTAGCAATTTCAAATGCATTAATACCCTTGAATGTGGTTTGGCTGAAATAATTCCATACTTTGTTCCAATCATGCTTAAAACTAAAGAATTATTAATTTTTGTATTAAATAAAAGTGTATTGGGAGATGATATTGCTTGATACCATCCTGAAGTATTTTTTCCAGAGCAGTTATTAACTAGCTTCTGTAAGAGAATACTATGTTGATGTGCACTATATGCAGGAGCCTATTGCTAAATTTATACTTGCATGAGATGTTTTCTCATGTTTTGTTCATGTGACATTTCAATAGAATTAGTTCTGATCAGAAATGACCCCATGGCTGACTGCGACTTTCACATGGATCCCTGAGTTCRCAGGCTTGCAGATACTAGGAATTTTGCAAAAACTGTGAGTTTGGCTCAGAGCAATAGTGTCCTGATCCCCCATGAAAGAATTTGAGATAGCTCTATAGATGACACAACACAAAAATAGAGATAGCGCAACATATATAGGAAATCTGGAGCAGAAAAGCTTGAACACTTGCTCATGATACGTCACAAGTAGAGGAGAATTTATTAGTCCCCTCTTTGTGGAGTTGGGACTGCCTCCAGTCAGCTCTTTGAACACTCTGTTAGTGTTAGTCCAGGGGTATGGAGCAGAAACCATCTCTGCTGTATTTTCTTGGGAAAAAGATATTGCAAAGCGAAAGGGTAGTGAAGGTAAAGTATTTTGGTTTCACCACAGTGTAAACTACACAGAGTCCATTACTGTCAGAAAAGAAATAGTGATGTCCTATGCAGATGGTCCTGCAATAAAGTGAAAAAATTGGGTTGGTCGTGCCTTTGCCCACATGTTCAAGACAAAGTGTGTGCATGCACTTTTGAAAGGAAAAAAGATAAATTTTCAGTGAGGGTAAAGGAGGATAGCTCTTTTTCCTATGGTTGACTTTGAAATTTGTAGTAAGCATGCTTCTCAAAAAAGGTGTCATCACTAAACAGATTTAGGAACTCAGTGAGGCGACAGGAGAAAGGTAATGATGGGTTATCTGAGGATTGCCATCCTCAAAAAGCTACATGTCTGAAAATATGCTAGATTCCTCTTTTTTGAAAAAGCATTGTTCTCATTTGCCAGACCATTCCCTCAATATTTTCACCTAGGTCACCTAGGAGGTACTGTGACCTCTAAAAATTAATTAATTGTCTTACATTTTGATCATTCTTAATTTTGAAGGTCAATGGCTTTTTCCTTCTTTAAAGTTAGCTAAAGAACAGCACATCCAATCTGAAAATTACTTAGTCTTCAATATCCTAAGTAATGGAGTGACCGAGTGCAGCAACTCTTTGGAAGATGATTGTGACACAGAGATTCCTGGACAGGCGCTTATCTTCCGCCCTGCACGTCAGCATATTTATTCTGTCTTGCTGGAATCTGGAAAAGGTAAGGACTAGACCACTTACCCCYTTCCTCAAGCCCATTTTGAATTTGGAAATGTAAAATCTTGAATTCCATGGTTCGAGTGGCTACATCTGCAATTTCTTAATCCAGTGATGGGAACCAATGCTGTAACAGGATATGTTTTTGTGCTTATTTTGTTCTGTGTAAAGAGAGAGAATTCTTTATGCAAACACACAGACAGATTTTATGTTCTTAAGACTGCCAGTCATTAAATGTTATTTTAGCCAGAATGGCTCTTGGACTGATTTGAAAAATTAAAAAAAATATTGCAGCTTTCTTCCTTGTAATATGTTGTTTTCTCCTTATTAATCACTTCACATTTGGGTGATGAAAGTACACCACCATCAAACCTGATATATTAATTATGTATTTAGAAAGGTCATGTAACAAAGTGTCTGACTTCCTTCAGACACTGCAGACTGAAGTTGTGCTATAATAGGAAAGAAATTAGGAAAAAGTGAATCAGAGTTTGAAAAGTCTTTTGGAGAGAATAACAAAAAGCTCAGCAGTAATCATGCACATCTGTCATTTTTCATTTTTCAGCCCACTGCTTCTAAATGTTGGGGACAATTATAACTTAGTTGGGTTTTGTTTATTCCTCTAAGCAGGAGGATATTCATTGATGTTCTCAGGAACACCCAGAACCGAAACTTAAATTAACTATTGTCACTGKTAAGGGTAGTGCTACAGATCTGAGCTTTTATTACAGCATTTGTAGTACTCAGGTGAAGATTGGAGTTGCAGATACATTAATAATAAGTCCCATGCTGGGTAGTGGACTACCTACCCAGCAAGTGTTTTAACCACATAGCTTCCTGTTAGTGTATAGGTTAGTATTTTACTCTGGTTGCTTCTGGGTCAAGAAGGTGGGTCATTAATCACAATCATTATGAAAGTTCATAAGTAAACACCATATTCTCATGAATTTGCCCTTAAAACTGCAAGGAAGTACTGTCCTTCACTAGTTCTCCATCCTTTAGATGAAGCAGACTTACTTTGTAATCCAGTGAGGGGGAGCATGGGAAGAACCCACCTAATGATACGTCTACACTGCAGACCCAAGTATAATGTAGAATTACTTTGAGTTAAAAAAAGAGCTTAGTGGAAGGAGTCAGTCAATTAAATTGATCCTTGTGGAGTTTGCTGTCACGGAGAAACAATTGCCAGTATAGCTTATTTACAACCAACTTGGCTGACTGTACACAGTGTGCCAGGTTGCAGTGCAGATGTATGTGTGGAATCAGGCAATCTGTGCTAAATATCACGCACAGCTTTTTAATTCCCTCACATCCCTTAAGTAGAAGATTCTTGTCCTGGAGACCTCTCCACAAACATTTTTCAGTTTGTGAATGATAGGGTTGTAAAAAGGGCAACATTTTATAAAATAAGTAATTACTTTTTTTTTTTTTTTTTATTAAGAACAAGTTAAAAAATAATAAGAACTGCTTCCTCTATCCTGAAACAAAAAGCTGGTGGATTTGAATGTTTAGCTTGAGATTTTCAAGGATGTCCAATGGAAATGAGGATCAGTAGGAGCTGCATGTCTTCATGCTCTTTGAATTCGCCTGCCTGGACCATGGTTCTTTGCCTGAAGCCATAGTTTGATAAGTATTTTCTTTCTCTTGGCAGTGCCAGTGTGAGCACTTCTCTTGCACAGCCATTCATTTCAGCCCCTGTGCTACCCTTTAGTTGTGCTAGTGCAGCTGTTTGTGCAGCTGCATAGTGACCTGAACTGAAAAACTGATCTGAGTTAAAAGAGCCCCCTCTGTCCCTCCTGATATTTCTGTCATTAAGATAAGTGTGTTCTGAATGAGTTACCCAGTCTGGTTCTCTGGCCAGCCGCAGAGCAGTGGAGATACCCTGAGGGAGCAAGTCAGTACTTGCCTAAGTGTGCAGGGCTGCTGAGAAACATGTTCAAGGGGCTGGACCTTTAGCTGTGACTCAGGATATTCTGAAGTACATGCAGACCTATACTCAGTGATGGGCTACTAGAGTCAGAGCCTTAATTTGACTCTCAAAAGAAATAGAGCTTTGATGGTGATCTTGAATAACATGGCATTTGTTGTCTATGCATTTTAAAAGTATCTTTATAATTAATTGGGTTACCTTTGTTTGTTAAGTGAAATATTGCATGTAGTGATATATAAGGATAGTTCTTAGAATAGCAGTGCTACTGGAAAAAAAATAGGGGAAAATAGCATTGAATAATACTCCGGTGTAGCATCTTGATAGGCCGACAAGCTGTTTCTTTTGTGTGTGTAACGAGGAGTTCGGAGCAAAGTCACAGGCTTTGGAACTAGCTCAGCCCATGGAAATACCTGCACCTGCCTTGCTCTTGCCAATTAGGAGGTTATGTAATATAGCCTGAACGTGGGGCCAGCTCCTGGAAGTCCTGGAATCACGCCTAGTTCTACAATTAGCAGCCCAGACTGACCCTCACTTTGATACTGTCAAAAACAGCCCATTAGCAGAACTTTTGCCAAGTGTCACTGGTGACTGCTCGGCAGGGCTAGCACTACCTAGAGGGTATAGGCTTATGCAGAGGGGCAGATAAGAGTGTGGTTTCCAACAGTCTGAGTTTAGTGCTTCACACACTGTTAGAATTTGCTAAGCCCTGCTCACTGACAGATTGTTGGGAGGGTGTGTGAACAAAGAGCTATCTCTGAGTTTCAGTGGGACTGTTCTGCATGTACAGCATGGGAAAAACTTTGAAAAAGGCAACTAAGATTTTTTTCAGACCTGTTTCTAGGTAGGGAGAGTTGGCGTTTAATAATCATGTCTGCATTTTGTTGTTGCTGCGTTAATGTGCTGTCATTTTGCAGGGCCTAGCTTTCAGAAATTTATGCAATTTCTTATATGAATAGTCATAGACTTTTGTAAGAATGGATTCTGATTGTGAAAAGCTCTCAGCTGATGTTGGTGCAGCATCCTGTACTAACATTCATATAGATGAAAATGGTAATGCTAGAGTTTCCTGTTAAATTTTTACTATACTGTATTCAGTGTTTTATTTTTCAATGGGCAATGTAAAAATACTGTTTCATTGGCATTTGGGAGCAACTGACATTTTAGTAAGTTGTTCTGTAAGCTGTAGAAGCAATTAAGACTGACTTCCTCCCCACTAGTTTCCTCACAGCAAAGCACTTCCATTCCCATGCCCCTTCCTAGCATCCTCCTCATGTTCATAAAACCTTCTTCCAGCAGTATATTGAGTTGCAATATACTGAATTTACAAGTGTGCCTCCATGTTGCCCCTCCTCTCCCCAAGTCCTATCTCACTCTACGTTCAGCTTTATTTTTTTCACAACTCTTTATTCATTTGCCACCTGATGCTACCAGAGAAAACAACAACTTAGCTTCCCTGCTTTTCCTTCAGTCAGGGTTTTAATAGGCTCCTTCTCTCAGCTGAGTCACCAGTTTCTTGAATGTTCTGTAACTAAAATATTTGAAACATCTTCTGTCCGATTTAGTTGAAAAAGGGCAGTGAATTCATGAATTAAATAATAGACATCTCCTAACTGTATAAGCCTTGCTTCCTTAAGAAGCCAAAATGAAGTGTGGGGGGCTGAGCGAGCTAACTAGTTGAACAAGGCAAATAAATTCACGTAAYCTTAAAACAGGATGCTAAAACATCAGAAATCTTTCTGAAAGTGACTTTGGGTTGTTACACTGGAAGTTCTTGTTAATCGAATAACATTATGGTAGGCAATGGGTTATAATCAAGAAGGAAGACTTTTCGTCTTTTGGAATGTGCCATTTCAAGTCTGTTTGTTTTTTCAGTGAAGACATTTTTCATTTTATTCTTGATGTCAGCAGTTCTGAAACAGTGAAGCATGGAAAGCCAGGTGAAGTCCTGTCCCTCACAGAACAGCTGGTGGCTCTTCAGTTCCTCACCTTTATTAGGAGTTTGTGCTTCAGGTCCATGGGTAAGAAAGGAGAGAGGCATAGGGCTGTAAAATAGATGACGTTCTGTTATTTTTCCCTTCCTTTTATCCCTGACACTAGCACCTCATCTAAGGAATTTCTGCCCCYGTACCATAGCACACCAGTCGCTCATTTATTTCAGCAGAAATTTGAACAGCTGATAATGAATGGGATCGGGAAATTGATGTGACCAAAAGTTTGATGGTAGAAGGGGAGAGTATTGGAATCAGAAATGCTTGTGCATTATAGTGCGTGGTGATGGGGACTGATGGTAAAAGGTAGGTGCCTGTGAACATGTTAGTTCAACTGAAGCCCTCATGTCTTAAAATCAGAAGCTTCAGCACTGTGGGCCATCGCCAGAGAGAACTGGGGATGCAGTTCTGTGAATCTGGAAAGGAATAAGGGAAGAAAAAAAAAGGAAAAAACACCCATGCTTTAAATTTGTTTAGAAAAGATCTGAAAACACTATTCCAAGTGCCAAGGAATGTCTGAGTCTGTTTTCTTCATACTGGTTATATGAGGGGGTGGAAATTTAAGGTTCTGTGATATGGTCATCAAAAAAGCAAAATCTGCTCAATGCAGAAGCACCATTTGTAGCAACGGCTGCTCTCTGTTTCTGCATTGTGTTATGGGAGGCCTCTCCTTATGGGCTAACTACTTCRCATTGAATAGAGTTCATTTCCAAAATTCTTAAGTTTTTGAAGTGCACTGAGGATATTTTCATTTGGAATTTTTAAAACATGAAGTGGTTAGATGCACTAGTCAAGAGGACATGTAACCATTTCTGCCCTGAGTGTATTTGTAATATCTAGTAAAACAGGCCAACCTATCAAGATAATTAGACTAGATATACCAGTGTGTTGGAATGAATAAAGAAAGGAAGAAAACTCTAATATAAAGCTATTTYATATGAGGGACTGAGAACATGATTGGGCCTTCGTCATGCAATATAGATCAAATTTAATAATTTGCTATTGCTTCATCCTTGGCATGTCCTCTTGCTACAGACAGATTGTTATAATGGAACCTCTGGAGAATCAAGGTACACAACCTCCTTCAGAGTTTGCTAGGAACTGAGCTTGAAAGTCAATATGGAATGGGGAGAGTGTGGCTCAGGTAGCAAAACTTCTGAGTTAATAGATACCTTAATGTTTGCTTGGGGGGAGGGGAGGGAGAGGTAGGGAGACACTTGAGCTATTATGCATAAACAATCCGTTTGTGCCAGATAAAAGGTCTGGAACGAAGTAAAAAGGGCTCTAAAAGCTCCACATCTGACTGTGGGATGACTGTTGCTGTTGACTTCAAAGTAGATAGCCATCAAGGCCTCCAGTAAAGATTTTGTCTCAAACCCTGACATAGGAAATATCAGGGCAATTTGGGAGGAGGATGTATTGAAAACTGGCTGTGTATGYGGCAGTGGGACACCCTGGAAACTGAGGTAACTCATGCAGGTCCCTAAGCTACAACAAATACCTCTGCAGCTGCCTGAAAGCTGCCTCAGAATGGGAGGGCTTAAAACTGGCTGAAAGCCATTTTAGAATGCTTTCCACAGCCTCTTGTGCTTATGTTTTTGGCCACAGTTTCCAACCCCAAAACTCATGTTTACAGTACATAATTCAAACCCTGTTCATTTGCTCTGATGATTTGTTATAAAGATACTAAAACTAATTTTTCTTGGTTTGTTTTTAAAGAAGCTAAGCAAACAAGTCATTATGAAGTGCTTTCTATTACTTCAGAATTCTGACCACTAGAGCTTCCAACTTTTATACTGATGTCAATAGGTGTGTTTGATTTATTGACCCAATTCTTCCTTTTTTTTTTTTTTTTTTTTTTTTCAGATGGAGCCCATCCTTTGGTGGTGAAAGAGTGGTTTGTCTATTTTGGAAATCCTCTACATCAACCAGAGCTGGTACAACCTATACAGCCCCCTGTTCCAGGTAGAAATAAAATAGGTGCTGAAATCTTAACTGATTCAATGATGTCACCAAAACTGGCATATAAAATCCATCATTAAGCATTTGATACAGAATCCAAAATGACTGTGGAGAACAAGGAGCTGAARTTGGAATTTCGGCCTGTCTGTCTGCAATTGCAGCTAATTGCCCTGTGTATTTGTAATAGGATTCTGCTTTGAACTGAGCTATTAGTGTGTCTCGTTAAACCCAATGCTAATTCAAACATAAGTTCTAAAAAGCAAACAATTTTTTAAGTGTTCTAAACACTGTCCCAAGGCCAGGCTAAGTGGTGTGCAGGGCCRTATAAAATTCTTCTATTGTGCTGTTTGAGAAAATCCATTTTGATAGCAGTACTTGTACTTCAGAGAAATTGATTTAAAGCTTATTTAATTCTCATTTTCTGGGGTTATAGTAAACTGCATTTCTTGATGTAAGATTATATGATTATCTTAAGATTATATGTATATCTTAATGTTTGAAGCTTACATGTTCAGTGAGAGTGTTCAAATTCAAGCACGAAGGAAGGGATGCTGCTCTTTAGCAGTGTTTTTTAAAGTCCTTTCAAAGGGAGCTGTGTTTGGAAAGAATTGAGTTATGTAAACAATGTGCAAACTTGCTTTCATAACATACAGAGTAGTTTCATTCTATTACTTTATGGGGAGGGTGATTAGCTAAATGATTTGATGATACCATGAAATTGCTGTGAAGTTTCCCAAATGCATGYCAATATGTAGGGTAAAAATATATTGGTCTCTCCTGAGGAAGTATTTTATTTCAGTATATAGTGCTGTGGTATATGACAACTTGCATTTATGAAACAAACAAAAGAAAAAGTGCAACAAAGCATAAGCCATACCTAAGTGTGTTACAATAAAATACAAAATTACCCCAAATGTAGCCTCAAATGCTGTTCCAAGCACTCCTGCTCAGGTGATGTACTTAAAGAGCAGGGGGTTGGTTACAGGAGGGGTAAACATAGCTAATCTACTTTGAAGCTGAGCTCAGCTTGCCTCGAGAGAGCAGCAGGAATAATATGGAGTTATCACTTCAGTAGATACTCAAAGCCCTGCCCAGCTGTGAGCATCCCGCGTACTCCTCGTGGTCCCCCTGGTKCAGTTACATTTCAGTTTCCATGTTGTGAATTTTTCCTTCACAGGTAATACCTATGAAATTTACCTATATGAAATTTACCTTCGTAGGTAAATTTCTCCTTTTCAGTATAGGAATTTACTTCTCATATCCTCCGATTCTGCTCTGCAGTCATGCTGTGCAGAGACCCCACCTTCCTATTGACAATAAAGTGAATTTAAAATCACTGAGTGTGTATTTGTTTACAGCAACTACAGAACAGGAGTTTATAAAACAGCACCTTCTCAGCCATAATCTTTACTAAATATTGAAAGGCTGTTCTAGCAGACTATTAAAAAAGGGGAGGAGGACTTCTAGTGTGTATTTTTAGCGCTCTGTTGTCATTCCTTCAGCGAACAAATATTTTTCTAAAATTTTTCAGCCCATATTTGTATGCCTTACATTCGCTCATGCATCTTTTATTTTCCACTGCATGACTTTGTAATTCGCCAAATAAGGTTCTCCGCCGTGCATCACATTTTTCAGACAGGAATCTTACTTAGAGCTAAATTTAAAGAMGATGATAGGAAATTAAGAGTTCAAAAACATCAGTCAGGTTCAGGTTACTCAAAGAATTGTATCATTGTAATGACAATTAAAAAAATCACGGGCTCAATTAATCTAGGAAAGTCCTTTTTATCTTTTGAAGAAAAAATGGTAACTCCGTCATCATATTATTTAAGAAATATGCTGAGAATATAATGAAAATCTAGACACTGAAGCTGGTTTGAATTAAAACATCTGAAGAAAGTGTATGAGATGTGAATTTTGAAATGCAGTCTACATGACTATAAAGATTAGAAATTTATCATTGCTCTTAAAAAATATTGTTCACTGAGATGTGCACTTTGTGTGTGTGTGTCTGTGTATGTGTGTGTTAAAAAACAGTAGAACTGTCTTACATCTAAAAAGCTCACAGGTGATAAACTGGATGTTATTATTATTATTAAAGAACATTGAATCCTGAAGGCTACAACTGGTGGTTTAAAATAATGTGTGTATTATACATACACATTTTTCTCAAGACACTGTGTTCTGAATTAGTGCCCACAGGCGCTTTCTCTTTCTTACCCTTTCTGGAATGTTCCCTTTCATTGAAATGAGTGTGATCCTGATGTTGATTAAGAAAAAAATTGATAAAAACATCTCTGAGAAATGAATTTGTTAGAAGATTTGTGATCTAAGAAAATCCTATCTAACATCCTTATCTTGTGATAATAGCTGATTTCTTTGGTCTGATAGTTTTAGCATGTGTGTGGTTTGTTATGAAGCAGGAGGAAGTTTTATGCATGGATTCTGCTTTTCATATTAATTCTGAAAACATGTAGGATATTGTAGCTGGAAGTGCTTGCAAATCTCCTTGTACTGCAGGAATCTGGRTATACTTTCAGGCTTCTAATGACTGTATTTTACAGGGACATTTCCTGGGTGCACTCATTTTAAACTTACTATCTTCTGAATGTTTCTCTGACATTCACATTTAATTGGTGTTTGAGTTCATGACATCTTTAAGATTGGGCAAGATTGCTAACGTGTTAATACTAAAGAATGAGTTTTATTTTAGGAGGCCTGGTGGTGGATTTTATGATCTTAATGATCTTTTCCAACTGTGATGATTCTATGGTTATGACTGTTGTCAAATGAAAATTCAGTAATCATTACTTCAGATATCAACAATCTTTTTGCGTACACTGCATATTGATAAGTCAGGTAATGTAGTTGACCAAGTTAAGTCAATATTTATATATTGACTTGAAATGCTCTTGTTTAGCAGGACATTTTCCATATGATCATGTGTTTAAATATATACATTAGTAGAAAAAAAATTAATTGGTGATTTTTTTTTCCACTTGCTGGCTGTCTATCTGGGGGGAGTTATAGAAACTCTACCTCTTGACATATCCTTGGGCGGTTTGTGAAGCCCTCCTAGGAGAGTGTAAGGACTACTCACATACTCCTGAATATGGTTTTTGCCCAGTTTTGTGCATATTGTGTGTGTGGTGTTCTGCTCTCTCTCTGTAATTCATAGGAGCTCCTGGTTGCTAGGATAGGATAGATAACCTAGATAGGATAGATAATGTTTCCAAGAGTAATCTCTGAAAGAGAAATGTAGATGAGAGTAGAGATGAAGCGTTTTGTCCTGTGTCTCTGTTTTATAATTGCTGTATACAGTATAGCAAAATATATAGTATGGATGTAACCAGAACTGRAGCAGAGAACTCTTTGTGGGCCTATTGTGTCTGAATTGCAGCTCTGTTGTTGGCCGTGCTTATGGTCCTGGAAGGTTGTTCAGTGTATTTGATTCTTCATTGTATTTATCTTTCATTTAAGGGTTAATATAGCAGCCAGCTCTCGGAATCTAATTGCTTGTAGAATGCACTGAAATCCTTGTGTGAAAATACTGCCTTTGGAACATGCCTACCGAAAGGAGACGGTGTCGAGTTTTCTTTCCCGGAGCAGATAGCTCTTAATTTTTTTGGTACCTCTCTTTCCCAAGCACAGGGAGGTGTTGTTTCTGAAAGTATAAAAAACTGTTTATAGAAGAGATTGCTTGAATTTTCTGTGAAGCTCTCTCTATGTAGACACGTACATTTTCATTGTGCGTGTCTGAGGGTTAACTGGAAGAAAAACTAGTGAAAGTGATACTATGTGTTTGAAAAAAAAAGTTTATTTTTTGTCCAACAAGATTGCCTGTGTTATTGCTGCAGTTAGTATTACACTGAAGAAAGAAGAATTTGAGTTATTAGGTATTACACCTGGATGTAGTTTCTTCAAAGAAAAAATTGTACAGATGGAAGAGAAAACTTTATCTGATTCATGGAGTATCTTCTGTGTCTAATCTGGAACCTTCTGGAAAGCGGTAGACATCAAAATTAATTGCTTTTAGGCTTATAAAAATTGTCTCACACTTTTAAAGTTGCTTAGCCTTGCTAGGGAAAGTTGTCTTTGTTTTATTTTTATGCCTGTTTGCTTTGCTTTCCCCCTGGGGACTCAGTCTATTTTTTTAAAAAAATTTTTCCCCTAATGCAGTAATTATCAGTACCCAAACCAGTACTCTGCTACTGTACTAGCCCTATCACCAGTATCTGTGATATTTCTAGGCTGCACTTCTAATCAAAATCAATCTACCAGTATTTGTTTATAAATTTTTATAAATTTATATATATATATATATATATATATATAAATAAATCTGTATGTTTCCCTGCAAGCTTTGAGATTCTTTGGTAGGACTGCAAGTAATTCTTTACATAGTTGCAACTTTTAGTGGAAAAGTTAGCAGTAAAAATAATAAAAAAACAATCCACTGTGGAAATGCAGAAAGAAAACGCTAGAAAACTTTTCAGTTTCTCCCTTTGGTAACCTGGTAAAACAGAACCATTTGGTTAATGGGCTTTCTATGCTAGATAAACATCATCTCTGTTGATCTCAACGCCTTGTCACTCCTACCATTTATTATCACCAAGTGGTCCTAACTGTGGACTACAGCTGCTGCCTGTCACCAAAAAAAAAAAAAAAAAAAAAAAAAAAAAAGAAAAAGAGAGAGAGAGAAGGTGTTAACAAATGTAGCTTAATTGGTCCACATTTAAAATTCACACCTCTTCTTATTTAACTCCAGAAGCAGCAGTGCTCTGCACTTGGATCCTGTCTTTAATGGGGATTCTTAAGACTAACTGGCTAGCTGTTCTGTTACTTCACTCTCGTGAGTGTTTATTTTGATAAAGGATTAAGTGTAATTTAGATGGGGAGCAAATCTTATATTTGTTCACACACAACACATGTCACAAGTTGGGAGATGGCAACATGGAGTAAGTATGAAGACTTAGGTTTAGACACATGGGCCAACCTCTCTGTAGCAGAGCCTCGGAGATATATTATATTGTAGCTGATGACAGTTCTTTTGCAAGTGTTTGCAATAATGTTTCATTCTGTAGCCCAGGGAATGCAGAATACTGGATAGCCTTGACTTTTGTTCCCAGATTTGCTAGTGAGCCTCCTGCAGAGGAGTCATGCTTGCAGAGCGCTCTGTGGAGAGCGAGTGCAAGCCCTGGCTTTGCCAGCAAATGCCCTAAGTGGCCGGTTTATTCCTTAAAATAAGCAATGAAGAGGAGCCAATGCCAGCACCTTTCAATGAACCTGAATGTTTGCAGTAGGAGGAAGGGTGAAGATACAGATGCATTTTATTTTTTCCTTTAATAATGTTCTGAGTCCTCAGGGGGAAGGATGCAATTTTAGACAAGCTTAAATCTTGCAAGGAGTGAATCCCTTTTTCTTGAAGTGGTCTATGGTGTTTTAACAACTGAATTCAGCCTACTGTGTTAGACATGACCGTAGTCAATACAACTTGTTTGGATTAGAGGCCTTTTGTTATTTAATTTTTTCCTGAGTGGCAGTTTTGGTCATATTCATTTCATTTTCACTTTGTGGTCCTTACAAGTTCCAAGAGCAGACTCATTGTTTCCTTTCAGATTTTAATGAGGGAGGCATGTTTTTATCTAGCTGCTTCCAATAAAGGATTTCTTTTCTAGGTGGAACACCTAGTTTGAAAACACTGTGGTTTGCCAAAGGACCTGATGTGGAAAAGCAGCGATATAGCACATTTCTGGCATGCTTTCACCTTCAGGACATGATGGAAGAGCTCCAAGCTGTGGAAGGATCTCTTGCGGGATTCTGCTGCTTGCTGGCATATCTTTTTGCGCAGGTAACTTGAACTGTTACACTCTCTGTAGCCCTCTGCCTCTAGAAAACTGCCATTTACTGATCTATTGCCAATTTGGCTCTTAATCTTCAGTGTAGGCATAACTGATTGAATATAATAGTACTGCATTACAGTATTTTTAATAACTCAATTTAACATGCATCATCCAATTCAAAAAAAGATTTGTAATTTTTTAGTAGTACCTCCTGCTCATGACAGAGCCTCTTGGGCTGTTGAGCAGACAGTAGCAATTGAGAGATTTGCCCCTGCTTTGGGCACCTGTCTACAAATTAAAGCTTCTCTTTCTGTGTTAGCTTCATATAATTAAAAGAAGAGCTTCCTCCCCCTTCCCTGCCCCTCGACCTCACAGGTGACTCTGTAGACTGTGCAAACAGACAGTATAAATATTTAGTCAGTTCTCACTATGTTTTYACACCACCTTGTGAAGCTACTCGGTGTCAAGCCGGAATTGAGGATATGGCTGCGCTCATTAAGTTCTGAGTAATAGGCAATCATTAAGTAGTAGGTCTGTTATAATTACAGACATTTGGCAGCTTACGGACTACTTCAATCTTGGTAAAAAGAAATGCAAGATAAAATACAGAAAAATACAGAAAAAAAAATTTACTTGTATTTTTCTTAGTTATTTTATACATGGGCTATACTTGCACCTTTCAAGTGGTGATTGCACAAGTAKGTTTTCATGCCTGAGGATGAGATTATAATGCGTTGATATGATTTGATGAGCTCTTGATGCTCATGCTCTTGGTTACTAGAGGGAAATATTGTACAGCAAGGGGATCAGCTTCAAGGCCTAAGGGGAAAAAATATATATTCTGAACAGTTTTTTTCTTGAGGAGGAAGGAATGGGGTATTCTTTTCTAAGAAAGCAAAGAAATTAAGCTGTTAAAAATGGCTTCTCATTGTTTTTGGTGGTGGTGGTGGTTTRTGTCAGTGTCTTTTCCTCTCCTTTTTTTTCCTACAACTTTGTATTTTATTTTATCCTTTGGGGAAAAAAAATCTTAAAGAGATTGTAATGGGATATGCTTAACATTTCCTGAAAATCAAACTATTGAAAGGAAGACAGTACGGAGTTTCAGATAGACTTTTAACCAGAGTATAGTCTCACAATACTCATTTTCACACTTTTACTAAGTAAACCTAGCTTCAACTTTCAAGTGATACTGAATTGTAGTGCCAGTCTGGATCTCAGTTAGAGCTCCCTGTGTAGCCGCAGCAGTTGTAGCCGATATTCAGGCTTGCTGCACGTGCGTGGTTTATGGTACTTGTGCCCTTACGGAGGAAGCAAATGATGAGAACTGGCTTGGTACGGTTGGGGAATCAGCTCAGCTGGTAGAGGCACTTTTTCCTGAAGTTACAATTTGGATGTATAGGATCTAGGAGTACTATTTCACAGATGTAGTAAATGCCCCTATACTGCCTTTTCTGAGAAAAGTATTTGAATCCTGTTTAATAGATTTAGCATTTTCCTCCATGTTTTCTCCCTTGAGCACTTTAGGTTTGTGTTCTTCATGATTTTGAAGTCTTCCGTCATCGGTATGTAAGCTAAAGCAACTAAAATGCTCCAAATATGTTTTTTTAATCCTGATATTTGTTTTAAAATACAAAGGTAAATAATTGAAATATTTCAGAATACTTTTTAAGTTTTCAGTGGATATTATGTAAACATTTGAAATAACTGCCATAGTGTGATGACAGTTATGATCTGTAATCCTATGAAGTCATTGATTTAAATGCAGCGTTCCTCAAGAGAGGCCAGTTTTCAGAAAGTTGYTCCTCATAGCTTGAAGGTGATATTATTTTTCATCTCTGTTTTAGGTCAACAGCCTTTCTCTGGAGGACTTAAATGCATTTGTGGCACTCATTCTGTGTCTCAAAGGGAAGGCAGCTGCTCAACTGGCAGGTTTGCAGGTATTGACTGGAATAATTCAGTAATATGAAATGTTCATGGTAATTTGGGCTTAAATAAAATACAGTTTTCTTTTGGGGAATTCTTCTTCAGTTATGGGAATTGAGGGTCAAAGTAAATATATGGGCTCTTAATGTGTTACAGCTTGCATGAATTTTGTGTGTTAGTTATGTAAGAAATTAAAATTGAAAGGCTGTTTTCTAGTGGTTGAAGTCCTAAGGTGAGAGAATTACAATCTCATATTTCTTCCTGACTATCCAATGGAAAATTTTAATGCTGAATCCCATCTTGCGGTATTTTTTTTATTCATTTTTCCTGAGAAGAAAAAAGCTTACTTGTAAACAATTGCATTATGAATACTGCGATTTGATCAAAATASTTTCCCTGTGATTCTGAAGAAGAGTCCATTAGCAAATGTGTTTYAGCAGAAGAAAATTTGACTACCACTGTGAAGTATGAGAGAAAAAGCAARTAGAGTTTGTTCTTCTCATATGGCAAAGAGATCTCTCTGTTCTTCACTTCCAAGTCTGCTTTCTGATCCATATTTCATRGTTAATGAGATCCATCAACTCACAAATTTTTGAAATAGAAATATCCACGGTTTGAATAAAATGGGTTAAAGCTATAAAAACTATGATTTGTCTCAGGCTGAAAGCAAGTAGGCTGTGGATGTAAAACTAAAATGCAAATTAAATATTTATTTTCTGAGAATAACATACTGTTTGTACATGCAGATTTGATTATTTTTCCAAATCGACGGTTTCAAAATACAAAAGTGCACATGATATACAACAGCTTTTATACATTCTTTTTCTCTATTTTTTTTCTTGTTTCCTTGTGCCCCCCTTATATGGTATATAAACATTCTGCTTTGCACAAGCCTCCCATAGAGCTTTTACATAAGGTCAGAATTAAATTTTGGACCCCAGGTTGCCTCTTTCCCTTCTTTCTATTTTAATCTGGTGAGTGGTTTTGGCAAAAAGCCCAGAGCGCCATCAGTCTAATTTTGCAGCCATTGTAGAGAAAAGGAGGCACCAGCAGTCATGCTTGCTGTGTTGTTTCACATGTTGTGCTGGCCCTGGTTGTTTACAAGTACGGTTGTAGATCATCTTTCACCTGTAATGCATGTAAAATACTGTCCAGGAGAAGTTGCAATGAATTATGTAAAGAAATACGTTTCWTCTAATACTTCTCCACATATATAAATATGTGAAAAAAAAATATTGGAAATGGAAAGCCATGAGTCAYATTTTCTGAAAGTTGTGGCCAAAGATGAACCGAGAAAATATGGTTGAAGAGGAAAAATACATGGAAATTGTCAGATAACAATTGCATCCTCTTCAGTTTATTTTAAAAGCGTTTAAAAGTAAAATGTATGTGAGAAAATATGAATCAAAACCTGTTTAAATACTTTTCCTGCTATGTATTTTCTTCTAGTTTTCAGAGTTCTGATTTACTTTAGTGAAGGATATTTGATACTACAATCAAAATGATGTTTCACAGAGGTAGCAGATGCATGGGTGGACTTATGCCCATGTCTGTGTATTTCTGCTGGAATTTATGGTGCTGTAACTATTTGTAAGCTCTTTATAGCTCTGCTATAAAATATCTAGTTGTGCCAAAATATCTGCTTTGGAGTAATTACACCCTTTGTACCACTTGTAAAGGAACCGTTTGGCTGTATATGAGGTGTAAGAATGTCAAACACTGCAAATGTGCTCCTTCAGTTCCTCAAGTGCTTTTATTAAAAACAATTATTTAGAAAGGATTACTGATTCAAAATGAGCACAGTCAGTGCAGATCTTAAAAGACAAGCCCAAGAGAGTCTTCACAACACCATTGTGAATAAGCTTTCACAGAAAACATTAACAAATATTACTTAATCAGCTTTGGAAATAATTAGAAAACRCGCAGCAAGCTACCTTAACAAGCAGAAATAGCTTTAGCAAAAATTTCTGTGCTATGTGAGCTCCTAATATTTTCTCCTGTGCAGTGCCATGGAAGCAAAAACTTGGTAATGCTATTATATCACACTGTTACACAAGATACTTTTCTGTGAATAATTTTTCAAAGGGATATTTAGCTGCATTCATGAAAAAAATAAAAACAAAAGCAAACAAAAAACCCAGTATATTTTACAGTAATCTGTGTCCAAGTTAGGGTCTCTCAAATTGCAGGAGAATATTAAGTGTATTTTGTACTTTTAAACTCATTTTTTCCATTGATACCCAAACAGAAAAGGACAAGAGCCACCCTGATTCTGAACATACCAGATTTTCGGTCTTCCAATCTATTTGGCAAGCCAAACCACATTTGTCAACACCATTAGATGTGATTCTTTTCAGACAAACTCTAAATAGCCTTTCAAGATATCTACATTTTTTAAAACATATTTTAAAAAAGTACTTTCTCCCCAGGAAAAATCAAGCCAACTCAATGTATCTTTATTGTGTCTGAGTGACTAAGAAATATATGCCTGAATTCTAATTGAGCAAAACATAAAATACAAATATAAATATTGTAAAGATCTCCAGGATAAAACCGCTGTTACTTATTTAGAACCTGCTTCTATGATCCACTTTGGTGTTAACTGAGGTGGAATTCTGATACATTTCCAAATACGTCCCTGAATTAGGGCTTTATATCCTCACAACTTTGGTTCTGTCAGAAGTATTTTTAAAATGAGAGGTGATATTGTAAGTGGGGAGGGGTTGCAGTGGTTTACTGGTCTTGGCAGTCTCCTCTTCAGCCTTTAGATTTTTTTGGTATTTTGGGCTAATGTGGAACAAAAGTGCAGTAGTGTGAGCGGTGATTTCAAGCTGAGATTAGTTGAGACCCTCTTCCACCTAAGAAATAGAGCTTTCCTTTCATCTCTTTAAAATGGCATTGAATTAATTAGTCCACATAAAAACAATGAAGTCTTAAAGGAACTATATAAGCTTTGTTTTTAAAATTTCAAAAGAGAATATTAAATGATTAATGAGGGTAAGTTGCATCAAATGAAGATAGCAAGGCCCAGAGACCATTCAGTCTTGCTAAAGTGGTTCAAAATCTTTGACATTCCAGTGAAGAATTTCAGAGAATGGTTTTGTTTTATGAACCTGCTTATATTATATCTCTACATTAAGACTGATTACATTCAGTCTTCTGTGCTCTCTTTTTTTCGTGTATTTTGGTCTCTGGACCTACGTGCCTGCTTCAGTGAACTGCCTAGTACCGTCTCCAGTGACTTGGAAAYGGTGGATATGGGTCTCCTAACCTATTAACTGGGAATTGTCTTGCATTCACTTGMACAGGTCTAATAATCGTGCAAGTATGGTTGTATCTCAGGAGCTTAAGTTACTGTTTACAGAATTTGTTGAAAGTCCCATTTCTAGATTTCTTACCATTTTCAACRTGATCTTTTGAAATTCTAAAGAGTTTTATTTTATCTGTTTGCATGGCCAACTGGCTTCACTTTCCCTAGTTTGTTGGTTTACAACATGTGAAATATCCTTAGGCCAACATATCCAATTTTCAGTCAAGATGATTGTTCTTTTCTCTCCTTATTTTCTTCTTCTCCTACTTTGGTATGTTTGCTGGTATTAATAAAGAGCATTTCCCTGGACATTCTTTATATTTGACAGAAGCTGGAGGATCATAATCCACAGCTGTTAGCCCAGCATGGTAATCTCCCTTCTACCTTCTGAGAACGATGTTTCTTCTCAGAACTATTCATATATGCAATTTGCTTATGGATGAAATTCTTTTGAGCAAGCTTGTTAAAATGGGGAATTTGTCTTCCTTTTTGTGAGAGATGATCTTGCATTTTTTCTTATCTGTGTTTCTCTGCCTTCCTGAGARTTTTGCTCTTCTCTGCTACGTAGCTTACTGTTAGCCAGGTGCACAACAGCAAGGAAATAGCAGCAGCGTGTCGGTTGTCAACTACTATCAGCCCTTAGGTAGTTTAAAGAATTTTTAGGGTGTTTATGGTAAAAGACAATCTACAATTTCAGATAACACAGTTACTGTTACTTTTTAATCCATACTCAGTAGTATCGCAGAAAATGAAATGTAGCTCTTGCTGGCAAGAGCAATAAAACCCTCCCAAAATATTGATTCGACAAACTGACAACATTGAAAAAGTCAGGGACGGGTTTTTTCAGAGAGGGCAGTTACTGGTTTCTGGCACCAGCTGCCACTTTCCTGGCAGGTTTTGCGCTGGTCAAAGTGCACGTGTCCCCATGCTGCGAGCAGCCGGCGGTTCCTGGGCTGGGAGGAGGCACAGGCCGCACCTGCGGCGCCCGCGGCGGCCCCGGAGCGGCGGCGCCGGCGGAAGCGGCATCGCGTGGACACCTGCCCGGCACCGGCTGCCGGCACCCAGCGCTGGCCGGGCAGGTGGCTCCGCGCARCTTGGGGAAGCACCGGCCTGCTCTGACACGGCCTGATGAGCCCTCCAGGGGTGACTGGGTGGAGAAGGAAGGAAAACCAGCCCCTGTAGGCATGTGGTGCTTCCTAGGATGTGCTGGTCTAGTCCAAGGGCTGCAGCAGAAGTGCTCGACCTGAAGGTGTTGGAGACAGCAAGKGTGACCAGGAGCTGGTTCATTCCCTTTCCCTCCAAGTGTATCCTTGAGGGGCATCATCGTTGTCCAGGAGTTGAATCAAAATGATGATTTGCGCTCCTGTTACTTCCTCTTGCTTTGGACAAATTGTTCACTTGTTTCTCCTGTTCTAGTTCTCACATATAACACTCATGCAAACCCATAGTTTCAATTAATAACAGAAGCTCTTAAATCAGAAGCACTCTATACATTTTGTAATATATTCTTAGCATTCAAATAAGAGTTTTATTGCACGTATATTCTCTCCTGCACCTTTATTTTGTGATGATTTTATATGGCATTTACTGAATAGTAGTTGAGACATGGTTAAAGCAACATGTTATGAAGAAATGAAGCTGTCTTCAGAGAAAAAATACACATTTATATGTGCAGCTATTTCATATAGCCCTTACCAGCATTGC